GAAGTCTAGGAAAGAGTGAAAAAGTAAGTGATTTTATTTATATCAGGATTACTGGCAAATTATAGAAAGAAAAAGAAAATAAAGTTTGCCAGATTTTGACAGGAAAATTCTATCATCGTACTTATTTTCCAAAAGAGAAAAAGTAACCCTTTGACCAACTCTAACTATGTAATATCTTCACAGTAAGGACTCCTTGTAAGACAGGAAAGAAGTATAAAAAGAGTATATTTAGTCTATTTAAAAAATGAAAAATAAAAAAGGCTTCAGTAGAAAAAGTTCTTTGCCACAGAGCAGAGCAACTGAAGCTGGAGTCTGAGCATTATGAATTGCTAGCCATGATTTCTTCCCCAGCACTATCATTAGATGTGTGACACATATGTGACATGCTGACCCTGGAGAAAATATATTTTACAACACTCCATGATCACAGAGAAAATAAGGCTGTAAGGTGGAAAAAGCTATGAAGTGGATAGCTGAGCATGGTGTTTGAATATTCACCCCCAGAAGAGAGCTATATTGGAAGCAGGGAGACACTGAAGCCATCGTATCTGAGCATCTGCTCTGATTCCTCCATCCTCTTTGGGAGAGTCTGGATATCAAACATGCTGAGACAATAAAACTTCTCATTCTATCGGCTTCTGTATAGGAAAGCTGAAACCTTTCAGCATGAAGGAGAATAATGAGCAGATCAAAGGGTGTCCTGTTAGGAACAGGATGGAAATACAAGACGTGTATCATACACATGAAGTCTCGCTATGTAAACTTTCACTGTACTCCACTGTCATGAACTGGCCTGCTGCATAGCATGGGTTCCAGGGAAAGCTTTTGATGTGAATCATTTCCCTGAGACTTGTATGCAGTGGCCATCTGCGGAAAAAAATGAAAAAAAAAAAAATAGGAAAAAAAAGTAGTTATATTAGTTTATGCACGTGCATGGAGGATCTGCAAAGCTCAGGCTTGGCAAGCACCTATTGCTGAATGCACCAGATTCCAGTAAGAAGATCTGCAGAGAGCTCTGCATTCGCTGTTAATTATGAATTAATGCTTTCAGCTAATGCCTTTTGGACAGTGCCTTGCACAGTAAACAGCCAAGGATGAAACAGCTTATCTGTGCCTGTGTAGCATCATAACAAAGGTGAAAGTGAGCAACAGTGGTTATCTCAGCGTAATTGGGGCTTTTACAAAGGATGATGCAGTGTGCCACTCAGTCTTATGCTCAGACTTCTCAGTAGCAACTCATGGTCAGTGGCATGAAAGACTAAATGCAAAAGAATCATTATGTCTTACTCTGCAACCAAAAGGAGGTGATAAGTCAGCAGAATGAGTGCAGTCCTACACTCCAGCCTGTGCAGAAAATGAATGTGAATACCACAGAGGACATCGGTTAAAACTTCCTCAGTCTTTTCCTGACAGAATGGCTCAAAAGAAGTAGCACCTGGAGGTTTCAAGAGATCATTTGTTGTGCAGGCCACTAGTAATCACTTTCCCTATGGAAACCAATCTATTCTGACACAATATTGTAATGTCAGAAGCAGGCATTAAAAGTCATTACTGGTAATGATGCCAATATTTGCTCTATGGAAGGAATCAAGACACCATAATTCCTGACTCCACCAGTCTCCCACAGAGTCCATAGGCACTACTGGCTAACATTGCCACTGGGAAACCTGTACTTGTCACCAGCAGAAATGTCTCAGCTACCATGTAAATGGAACTCCAGACTGTCATTGTCTATGTATATCAAAAACATAAGGAAAATAACATAATTGTATCAGCTCTGTTTATTGCTTCTTTGTCTACTGTTGTTCCAGCTGGAACTAATGCATAAGGAATATATTTTTATGAGTGACTAGCAGTTAGTTTTGGATGTGCCTTTTTGGGAGCATCACTGAACTGCATTTCATCTTCATTCAGATCTTCACCCAAGCCTGCTGAAACAGCTGCCAAAACCAGCTTTTCATGCTTTCCAAATGCTGACCTTGAATTATGGACACTGAGGAAAACTTTCATTAGTTTCTGTAGATCTGGGGGTTCTTCCACCTTATGTTCATTCAAATTGAAAATAACAAAGGCAATATCTTTCTTTGGATGCTACAAATGCTCAAAATGTTCAGGTCATGACTGGATGAGATTATGCAGCTTCTTCAGAATAATTTGGTAAGCCATCCAATGGAGACCAAACATAGCCATGATTAGTCAATGCAGCCTTGCAGCTGCACTCTGCTTCTCAGCTTTAATACACATTGTGCATCAGAAAACTGGAAAAACTCTTGCAGCTAATTCCTGAACTAGACAATCTCCTGTTTCATTGTTTGGGCCTCTAATGCCTGGCTCGTCTGGTTTTTCTAAAGTTATCTATAAAAAAAAAACAAAAAATAATCCTGACTCTGACACTACTAACCACATCTGCTTCCACTAGAATGAAAACCTCTCTAGGAGGCGCACACACAGGGCCTAATTAAATCTCTATGCCATTTCCTTTGAAACTGTCAAACTGCAGTTCTTATCTTGTATTCATTCACCCCCAGTAGTGGTGTGATAATTTTAGTAAGGGTGTGCTTAAGCAGTAAGACAGAGCAGCATGACAGTCATGCTGGGATTCCGCCATACACTGAATTGTTAGATTGAAAACTGAAGATCAGGGACACAAGACAGTCAAGAAGTTCTGCATGTATGAGAAATACTGGTGTGCCTGAAGGATATTATGATGGACTGATAGAATCATAGAATGGTTCTATTATAAATTAGTTCTCTCTGTCAGTATTTTTGGAAGAGGCTGGAGTCATGGAGAAAAATTAAACTGAATGACATGGGGTTAATATATTTTATATCAACAGAAGAATTTCAGACTACAAGAGTGGCCACCCTGGCTCCTAGCAGAGGTACATCCAGCCTGTTACCTGCTCTCTACCAACTATGGGAAATCGGTGTCTGCAGACAGATTACAGAGAGGAACATGAAACCAAGGCTTCCCCAAGGACTCCTCCAATTAGCAGAGATAATCATAGAATCACAGAATGGTTTATGTTGGAAGGGACCTTAAAGCTCATCCAGTTCCAACTCCCTGCCACAGGCAGGGACACTTCCACTAGACCAGGTTGCTCCAAGTCCCATCCAACCTGGCCTTGAACACTGCCAGGAATGGGGCAGCTACAGCTTCTCTGGGCAACCTGTGCCAGGGCCTCACCACGCTGACAGGGAAGACTGTCCTTGTAATTAGTAGCCTTGAACCTAAAACCCACTACAATGCATGAATGTAATACAAATGCTCTTAAACAATAGTTTGAAACCAAGAAAACACTGATATTTTATGGTTGTTCTCTCTTATGTTTCTTGTGAATCCAGGTGTCCCTTGTCAATAATCTGCTTCTACTGATTGTCTTTCTTTGGCAGTAGGAGACTGCTACTGTAGGAGAGGAACTGGTTCAAGACCATCTTAAAAATCTGAACGTGCACAAGTCCGTGGGTCCTGATGAGATCCATCTGCGGGTCCTGAAGGAGCTGGTAAATGAAGTTGCGAAGCTGCTGGCCATCATATTTGAGAAATCATGGCAGTCAGATGAAGTTCCCAATGACTGGAAAAAGGGAAATATAACCCCCATTTTCAAGAAGGGGAAAATGGATGACCCAGGGAATTACAGACCAGTCAGTCTCACCTCTCTGCCTGGCAAAATCTTGGAGCAGATTCTCCTGGAAGGCATGCTAAGGCACATGAAAAACAACAAGGTGCTTGGTGACAGCCAGCATGGCTTCACTAAGGGGAAATCCTGCCTGACCAATTTGGTGGCTTTCTATGGTGGGGCTACAGAACTGATGGATGGGGTAGAGCAGTTGATGTCATCTACCTGGACTTGTGCAAAGCATTCAACACTGTCCCACACGACATCCTTGTTTCTAAACTGGAGAGACATCAATTTGATGGATGGACCACTCGGTGGATAAAGAACTGGCTGGATGGCTGCACACAAAGAGTTGTGGTCAATGGCTCAATGTCCAGCTGGAGACCAGTAATGAGTGGTGTCCCTCAGGGATCGGTGTTGGGACCGGTCTTGTTTAACATCTTTGTCGCTGACATGGACAGTGGGATTGAGTGTGTCCTCAGCAAGTTTGCCAATGACGCCAAGCTGTGTGGTTCAGTTGATACACTGGAGGGAAGGAATGCCATCCAGAGGGACCTTGACATGCTTGTGAGGTTGATGCTAACCTGATGAAATTTAACCATGCCAAGTTCAAGGTGCTACACCTGGGTTGGAGCAATCCCAGGCACAGCTACAGGTTGGGCAGACAAGAGATTCAGAGCAGCCCTGGGCAGAAGGACTTGGGGGTATTGGTTGATGAGAAAATCAACATGAGCCAGCTTCAGTGAGCACTTGCAGCCCAGAAATCCAACCGTATCCTGGGCTGCATCAAAAGAAGCATGACCAGCAGGTCAAAGGAGGTGATCCTGCCCCTCTACTCTGCTCTCATGAGACCTCACCTGGAGTATTGTGTCCAGTTCTGGTGTCCTCAACATAAAAAGGACATGGAACTGTTGGATCAAGTCCAGAGAAGGGCCACGAGGATGATCAGGGCACTGGAGCACCTCTCGTAAGAAGATAGGCTGAGGAAGTTGGGGCTGTTCAACCTGGAGAAGAGAAGGCTGTGTGGAGACCTCATAGCAGCCTTCCAGTATCTGAAGGGGGCCTATAGGGATGCTGGGGAAGGACTCTTCATTAGAGACTGTAGTGACAGGACAAGGGGTAACGGGTTAAAACTTAAACAGGGGAAGTTTAGGTTGGATATAAGAAGGAAATTCTTTCCTGTGAGGGTGGTGAGGCACTGGAATGGGTTTCCCGTGGAGGTTGTGAATGCTCCATCCCTGGCAGTGTTCAAGACCAGGTTGGACAAGGCCTTGGGTGATATGATTTAGCGTAAGGTGTCCCTGCCCATGGCAGGGGGGTTGGAACTAGATGATCTTATGGTCCTTTCCAACCCTAACGATTCTATGATTCTATGAATACTTGTTTACGTTTTTTATTGCGAACTTTTGCCAGGATCTGTATACAACTGCAATATGCTTTCTTATATCAAGAGGTGATGAACTGAAATTGTTAAATACCATTCATAAGCTGCTCTCACTTGTTTTGGATGCTCCTCGGGCACCATATAAAGTAACCAGTAAATTTTCTAACAATGTGCATAACCTGTAAAATAAATACCATATAATAAGGACTCAGAAAGGTACTTCTGTATTTTACTGTGACAGCCAAAACCTTGGAAATCAATTTTAGAGATACAACCTACGTTGCAAAATTTCTAGAATTAGCAAACCTGAAATTTTCTATTTTGCAATGCTTGTTCAAGTCACTTCATAATCTTTGCCTTGGTTTCCTGCTGTGTAAAATGAAGTGACTTCTTTTTACCACACTTACAAAAATGTTGTGTTGATTTTTTTTTTCTTATGTAGTCCTTTGAAAGCCTAATTTAACGCTATCTGGATGTTATGCAGCTAAATAGATTTTCCTCAAAAAACATTAGTTGACATGACCAGAAATTCTGACATAATAAAGAGAAAAGAGAAAAAAATATCCCTCCTGAGAAAAACCTTTTATTTAGGTATAAATGGCTTTCTAGAAGCACCAGACCACAAACATTTAAACTTTTGAGTATAGCTCTTCTTCCAGTAACATCAATGACTGATTCCAATGTGAACATATTGCCGAGGATTTTTGAATATTCAGCTTTGAAAAATAGAAACTAATTGAAATCCTTATAAGGAGAAAATAATAACTCTGCAATTGCACAGCCATCTCACATAAGGATCGGTTATTACAGTTCATGGCATCATGTGGAATCCTACTGCAAGAGACATTTGCCAACAGACTCTACTGCACATTGGCCATATCTAAGATAGTTTACATCCATATTCATGGACAAGCATTGAGTCCAACTCACTGCCACCACCTCACAACAGCCTGACTGCACCCAGTTGATTTGGTGAACAGGGTATCAGTAATGTCTCAAAAGCAAATGAGCCTACTACGAAGTAAGCTGGTTAATGGTTAAAAATAATTGGTAATGCAATTAGCCTCTGCTTGCATGAAATGCATGCAAAATCTATGCAGATCTTGAGATAACACCTGAATTACCTAGAAAGAGGCAAAATAATGCAAAACTTGTTAAAAAACTTGGCTCTGTTCTTTTAATAAAAATGCTGTTGGGCACTGATTTATTCTTGGTGTGTTATTCTACTTCTGGCAGAAAAACACTGTTTCTTGGCTGAATTCCCAAGTATTAAGTTAGAAAACACTTGACATTGTGTGTGACTGAACTCATTTTCATCACAGCATAAAAGTATTCAAGTACTGATTTTTAGGTTTGCCATATTAATAAAGTAACATGGACAGCAAATACCTGTACCATCTAGAACTACTTCTATATCAGTATCTACACTGCACAGGGGAGGTACAGTCTGATAAAATGACAGCTTTAATAAATAAATCGAGTCATTATTAATTAGTCTATTTGACACAGCTTCAAAAGGCCAAATACTGACTGAACTATAAGGTTCCAAGAGCAGGGTTTAATCTTCAGACTAATTATAAGGATTCCAGATATCCAATCTGTTAAAAATAAAGACATATTCTACAAAAAGACAATAAGAGCTCCTAACAATTACTATGATGACTTTGTTCAAGTTAAAATCTCATTCTTTAGGAAGTCAAACAGCACTCTCAGACACTGAGTAATTTTACAAAGCAGGGTCAAACTGACTGCTATTTCAGAGGTACTGCAAGGTCCAAACAAAGAGGGGGGAATGCTGGGTCAATTAAAAGCTCTTAAGTTTAATTCCAAATGCTGAAGAAGCTTATTTTCCTTCTTTACACCCTTAGGCTGGCACCATAAGGGACTGGAAACAGTGTGGCAGCATCTGCTTAGGACCTGTAAATTAGAAAAGGCTTCATGACATTCGATAGCAACCTCCTGGGATAACTAAACAACATGATGTTTAGTTGCGTCTTGCTGTGGGACTGTGGTGGGTGTACAAGATCATGAGAGAAGCAGGGTTAAAGTCAGGAGAGGATGGGAAATTTCCCTGTCTCTGTGGGGCTCAATGTTGATGAGCCGCAAGTCAGACTCAGTTCCTAGAGATGCTGCTACAAGCCAAAAGTGCTCAGCACCTCCCAAGGAAGCTTAACACCACAGATTCCATCTTTTCAGGTCAGTTGTAGGTTGTTTCACTGTGCATTGATTTAAAGTATAAATATCTATGAGCTCCAACTCCTAATCACATAAATGAATCAATGTCCTGGAGAATACAGGATTCCTTCTTTCCAGTTATGCTGTGCTTTGTTTGTTTTTTTTTTTAACTGCTGTACATCTATTGTCTGACTTTAAGTGCATATAATGATAATAGGGGCAAAGCATGAAGTATTGAGCCACAGCCACTCAAATAAAAGATATATCTTCTCTCTCAGGATAAGGAATATTTACCTCAGCTATTTTATATCACACCACCCTGTTTTATCCAATCACTTTGAAATAATTCCTTTCAAATAAAATCAATTTCTAATCTTTGCTGTTGCTTATTAGCTGGCTCCATGTCTGAAAGGTCGTAGGATGCTGACATCCCACAGACACTTCTCTATTTTCCCTTCAGACAGCAAAAGCTCTTTAGAATTACTACATACCCTGTTCCTAAAAAAAATGAGGTATATATGTAGCCCTGATCAATAAAGCATTTATCTTAATTTCAAGTTTCTGTAGCCACACAGAATTCTTCTAATGACAATTTAATTATTAACCATAAAAAAAAAACAAAACATATATGTTTCTTTCAGTGGGAACCGTGTGTGTGTTTTCTTATTTACAAAGAATACCTTGAAAGTGAAGACCCTGATAAGCCAGCTACATCCACCCATACCAGGTAATATTCAAACATAAAATCTGAGTCCTAAAGCTTCACACACTCGTGTAAAAATTTATGGACACATGCTATTGTTTCTGTTGCTTCAGAAACACTCTGGAAGAACAATGATGCTGGTTCTCAGATGTCTGGGGGAAACACTGCATGCATGGCATCCAACTCCCCCAGAGATCTGACGCACATTTGTTTTAATGTTGCTAGCATGTTCTCCATTATTTCAGATGCTCAGCACTGAAAGAAAAAACTTGGTCTACATCTTTCATGGAACTCATAAATTTCATGAATATTATCAACTGAGAAAATTAACTTGAAGGGAGGAGGAAACAGCAGAAGAGGTTTTATGATAGAGAAACAAGCATACCCTGATGGAGACTCCAGCGGGTCCCCTTCTCTCATGGAGCTCCTGGGAGACATAAACCCACAGCCTTTGTAAAGGCAGGAGGGAAAAGCATCCATCTTCCTTTTTTTCCTCCTCTAGCAATATTATACCTTTCATTCTGAAATGTTTGAGGTGTTTATCCACAGTGGCAGGGAGGATAAAAGAATAAACAATAGAAGAAAGGAAAACGGGCACAGCCTTCAGCTCTCTGCTGGCCATCCTTGGCTGGAGGCCTGGACGTTTGCTGTGAGCCTGCATGTGACGCTTTGCACAGAGCACAGCAGCCACCTGTGCGTATAGCAACAGCTGGGCTGTAACATCAGCCTCTCGTTGTAGTAACACTTCATTAAAAAACATAGAAAATGCTCAAAATATTTCCATGCTTTGCAGCCTGTATCTGGTAAACAGATTAGAAAATTAAATAATCTGTTTTCTTCAGGTTTCTGGATTAAATATCCATCATAAAGTGTGCAAGAACCATTTGAGTGACATTCAGATCCCAACTTCGGAGTACGAAGCGTAATTAAGTGTGATAGTTATGAGCAGTGATAGAGCTGCATGTTGCAGCCTGCATTTGAACAGAGAGGAAATAAAAAGAAAAATGTGGCTCTTGTCTTAATTTTTTAAATATATGTACAACGTCAGATTACACACCCCACAGCAATGGGAACTGTGTGAGAGCACGAAATCCCAATCACAGCTTCTCTCCATCTGGTAAATGATGCCTTCTAATGAGCTGCTACTTAACTCGCCACCAGCTGAGACTACAGGGTTAAATATCAGTCTACCAATATTTCCTCCTGACTCAAATCTTCACCTGGAATGAGTAGCAAAGTCCTCACTGGCATTCATAGAGTTTACTGTGGACAAGGGGCTTCCACCCTAATTTGTTCCAAAAAGCCATTTCTTAGAGCATTTTAAAATACTGTCTTTCAACACAGGAGGTTGGACTGTTTAAATGGACTCAATTCACTTAATATTCCCAAATCAGCTGAAAAATAGTTTAGAACAACTTTTGGAAACATTTTTATTTGTGATTTTATCTAAGTAAGATATAAAAGTAAAGTGCATTCTCAACTCACTGTCAAGGGATAAAGAAAACAGACGTGATAGGGACAGATCTCCTAAAATGACTAAATTGAAAGTGACTTTAATACGAGGTTCAGCTTGCCAAACAGACTGTAGCTGATTCTTCCAATTTAAATCAGAAAGTCTTTTCTTGGTTATTGCTGAGATCTGCACATAAAAGATGCACCATTTTCTGGGGAAACAGAGATGCACATACCTAAAAGTTGAAATAATGGAAGACTTGAAAACTAAAATCTCCTGTTTCTAATGGCAGAGTTACAGTATTAGCTTGTGACGCCCACATTACTCGTTCAGTGTTAATCTTTAAGGTTAACAATAATGCAATGTTTAGGCAAACAGTCTGGTGGCTTGCAACAAGAGAGATGACATAGCTTTCTACTAAGTGCCAACTTCTGCTGCTCACAAACCACATATGGAAAATCACTGCAACTCCTGCATCTCCAAAGACAGTTGTTTAATTGTCCATAATTCAGACACTGATATAAAGTCTATTTGATATTACAGTAGTTGTATGAATAAGAGTTATATAGAGTAAAACAGAGTGCCCAAGACTTTTTTTTTTTTCTCTATAAATGTGATACAAGACTTGAAGAGGAAATCAGCATCAAGAAATTTCACAGCAGATTATATAGCCCTCAATTTGGCTTTGCCTTGGAGTTCATCTGTCCATCTACTCTCAAGTTCAATAAAGGCAGGAGAGTCTGATCCTGCCCCACTGAGCACCCCAGCAGGGAGGTTATCATGGGATGGATGGGAACAAAAGGAAATGGGTATAGATATCCTCAGATAGCTGTGGTGCTATTCAGGGCAGAGGCACCTCTTGACCATGGACCAGCCTTTTAGCCCTAAGGATCCGAACCTGATTATCCCAGGGTGCATACCTGACATGTTGCATCCAAGGAGTTTCACATGCAGATTGTTAATTAGAAAATGCCCCGAAAAGACTGAAAAAAAATTGTATATTTACATCTTTTATATTGTTATTTTTGAGTCTGACGTATCAAAGTAGGTAGAACCTATAAAGTATGCCTTACAACAGCTCCTTCCACAACACCAACAGTGCCTTATATTTAAGTGCTATAAACAGACTATGACTGGGATACACTGGGACTGATTCCAGTCTCCCTCAAAAAAGTCATATACTATCGAGGTGTTACAGGGTTAAAGGAATGCAGGATGGTTTCCATACCCTACATTCCATTTATAATATCTGTGTTGCATACAAATTGGCACAAGTATGAGGAAATATGAATATCTCAGCATCCTTCAGTGCCAAATACAGACATGATGCAACATAGTCATTTTCTCAATTCAACGTAATGTACAATATGCCACTCTCCATTATGCTACAGCAACTGAAATGTGCTGCAGGCCAATGGAAAATATCCCTAAAAATAGCTATGCTGTTTCTGGGCAAAAGCAGATGTATTCGACATTTCCTTGAAAATGTTCCCACCTGGATTTGCTGGAACAGCAACATGATCGTTCAGTGACAAGAAGCTTGCTGGTAAGGAGCTTTCTCCTTGATATTACCCTGCTTTCCCGAAAGCACTGCAAACATGGCTTGTAGCAGCTCTTTAAAATACTGTACATGAAAGCTGCACTAAACTGTTTAAGTGCTCTATTGTGAAGCACTGTATTAGGAGCTTTCTGCTGCTCAAGCAACTTTAGATTGTAACATATTATAATAGCGTGTTATTCTCATAGAGATCATTTTACAAATAGAATACAAAAGATTGTCATGACATGAGAATCTTCTAAATCATATAAAGGAAAATAAACACCCACTTCAAAGGGACTTGCTTATTTTGCTAAGACATTTTACAGCATATTAGCATAAAAATACTACTTCTGCCTTTCAGGTTCACCCACAGCACTGTGTAAGAGCATTAGACGTGTTACAAATACAAATTATTTTGGCAGCATGATAATTTGTTAATGCATACTTGCAAACTTTATATGACTTTATTCAGCCCTGACATACAACCTGTGTAATAGATGCTTGCATAAATAAAAGCGGGGGGAGGAAGAAAGGTCCCATTGGTTCTTCCACTTCAGATACATGATGTTGGCACCCAGGCTTCAGTCATTAATAATAGATCATATCATGCCAGATCTTGGCTCCTCAGAAGCTGTTGGATGTCCTGAAGAGGAGTATCAGGGAGCTGCCTAGTTTTTCTGATGGATCTGCATAAGACTGGAGGGTTGATCATTTCTCCCTTCCATGA